CGTTAAAGAACGTTCATTCGAAGGAACAAGAAGTGAAGATTATTTTTCAACACACAATATTTCAACCCAGAAGCAAGGTGAAGTTGTATTTGATTATGTGACAGACTGCATTGAAGCCTCCTCAATCAATTTGCTGCTATCTATGAACCTGCTGAAGTGATCCAGAAGAATCGGTCTCTCTTTTATTTTCTCGGAAGATTCTCAAAGCTGAAAGTGTTGATTTTCAAGAATCCCTACAAGAAGCCTCTACTCCCAATGTGCGTTCAAAGTAAAATTTTTGAGAGAAAAGTCCAACTGTTCAAGATGAATTCATTCATGCAGAAATTCATTTGCTCATCTTGAAGTTGTGAATAAATCGAAGATAAAAGCTGAAGCCAAGCACAAAGCGAAGATTGAAAAGAAAAGAAAGCTACAAACCCTGGGGGAGTTTGTTAGGTCATAAGAAAAGAAAGCTATCAACCAAGTGGGAGATTGTTAGGTCTAAATTTATGGTTTATACTTTGCTTTTCTATGCATTTTATAGTTTTCGGTCTAGGGCCGAAATCCCCTTGAGTTTCCTTGTTGTTTGGACCGAAATCACATGTGATTTCTGTCAGGCCTTTGGGTTTGGGCTTTGTATTTTAGTCCAAGTATAAATAGTGTTGCTTAGGGGGGTGTAAAAAAAGTGAGTAGAGAGGAGGGAACGTGATTAGGGGCTGCCATATTGTTGAGAACGTGATTTGAGAGAAGATAAGAGAGAACGTGTGTTATCATCATCTTGTGTACCAGACTATATTGAATATAGTGTGCATTTGAAGATTAATCATCTTGTGTTCTTGTTCTTCTTCTCTATTCTATCTTGCATCATTCACTTGATTGGGATTCCGCACCATCAAGTGAATATGATTGATTCATCAAGCCATTTTTGGGACTTACAAACACACCTCAATAAGTCAAAATCCCAAACCCTAGTTCCTTAAGGATGACTAAATGCTTCAAGACACTCATTAAGCACCCAATCTCTAGAGTTGCTCATCCAAAGTTTCCTGAAGGGTTTCCTACTCCTAATAAGCCCTAAAACTCGTAGCTTTATGGACATGTATATCCAATGCATGTCCCATCCATTTATGTCAAAAACATGGCAAAAGGGCTTAAACTTGAGCATGGGACCAAAAACTCCACACATCTTTAGATCTGGAACATATATTAATAAAATGATCTCATGGATCCATAAAGTTACCAACTTTATGAGATCCAATTTTCCATTTTCACACATTATGATGATTTAGGGACAAAAGGGTTAGATCTAGAGATAAATATCATAAAGGTTGGATCTTGGGGACTTACAAGAGTCCAGAAACATGTTCAAGGTAGATGGGAAGAATTGTTTGTTGAAGCAAGGCTCAAGGATGTGTTCTTCTTCTTCAAAACACCACCAAAACACACAAAAGCTCAAAGATTAGCAATGGAGGCTAGGGTTTTCTCTTGGAGGCTAAGGGAGAGTGATTAAGGATGAGGGTAGGAAACCCTATCCATCATATTCCCTTAAATATAGGCTCAACCCCTGGATTAGGGTTTGCCATTAAACTGCGGCCACATCATGGCAAATATGTGGCACGCCGTGGAATGACCTTTGAGCCCATGATAACTCTGGCCTTAGCCACACCGTGGGACTCCATCCCCACGACGTGGCCACTGGAGGTTCAATTTCCAAATTATCATATTTCTTAAAAGAAACATACCTGAAACTCGGTATTACACTTGGTTTTCAAGTTGCTTAAATGATGACCTCAATCTTAATAGGAATTCAAAATTTACCTTTATATCAGATAGGAAAAAGGTATATTTTGGACATGTTTGTTTTTAACTTTCTTATTTCATTTTAACTTTATAGTACTGATATCCATTGGTTCTAGTAGGGGTTGTTGCAAGTGATTGCTACATTACTTCCATGTGCAGAACATAGGTTGTGTCTACGTCATATACAAGATAATGTGAAAGTTAAGTGGAAGAGTGATGTCTTTAAGGATGCATTATGGAAATGTGCTACTGTAACCACGGTTGTAGAATTTGACCATAATATGCAAGAGTTAAGCAAACAGAATAATGATTGCCGCCAGTGGCTCAAAACTATCACACCTCAACATTGGACTAAGTCTCGCTTCACAGGTTTGGTTTTTATTTTTCATTAGCTTATTTTACATCTGTATTTTGACTTTGTAATTCTTATGCAGATAGGGCTCATTGTGATGGTCTTTTGAATAACCTGTGTGAGACTATTAACAACCAATTTAAGGAAGGTTGTGATCAACCAATCATCAACTGTCTTGAATTTATTAGAGAGTACCTCATGGTAATGCTTGTGACTGTTCAAAAAAGAAATTGATAAGGTAGTTAGGCCTCTGACTCCAACTGCTACAACTATACTGGAAAAATCAAAAAAAGTTGCAGCAGAGTGCACATGTATCTACTATGGGAATGACAAGTATCAAGTAACAGGTCCAAGGATGGACCAATGTGTGGTGGACATGAACAAACACACATGCTCATGCAGGAAATGGGAACTCACTGCTATTCCTTGTAATCATGCAGTGGTGGCAACTTGGGACATGAGAAAAAACAAGGAATATGTTGGTTTACCTGAGACTTGGGTGCATCCCACTTGCTAGTTGAGAACATGGAAGGAGATGTATTCCTTCAAGATTAAGCCTATCAATAGACAAAGAATGTGGGAAAAGAATGCTTGTCCTACAACATTACTTCCTCCCAAACATCATGTCCCCATTGGTAGACTTAAGAAGAAGAGAAGGAAGTTCGTATTTAAATTAGAAGAGATGGTGAATGGTGGTAGGGCTTCAAGGAAAGAGAAATTTGTCATATGATCAAAATGCAAAAAACCTTGGTCATAACAAAAAGAGTTGCAAAGGTCAGAGTAGTGCAAGTGGTGCAGGTAAAAGCAGTGCATGTGGTGCGGGTGGTGCAGGTCAAAGCAGTGCAAGTATTGCTGGTAAGAAGAGACCAAGTGGGGTTGGGAAGAGCAGTTCAAGTGGTGCTGTTAAGAGGAGCCAATTGGGGTTGGGAAGAAGGGCAAGACAACAGTTTAAAAGCATCCTAGTTGTTTTATTTTGTACCCTAATGTAATGGCTTTTTACACTATGTAATTTGTTGATGTTTTCGTTAACATTATGATGATCTTTTGATAACATCTTTATCTTTTGTTAACATTTTGATGACATCCTACTATCTTTTGATAACATCCTACCATCTTTTTGTATTTGATTTCAATTACATTCCAACAACATTACACAATACCATTCTAAATACAATCATTACACAATTACAAATCAAACCAAAGTACATTCCAATTACAATAAAACCAAATTACATTACATTCTGATCAATTAAAATCCCATTCCATTCTACTACAATTACATTCCATTCCATTCCAGTCAACTAAAATCCATTCCACTAAAATTACATTTCATTCGAGTCAAAAAGCAAAAACAAAGGTCTAACTTCGGTAATTAGGTCTAACTTCGATTGGGTGTTTAGGGCAAGCGAAACATCGATTAAACCTTAAATTACCATTCCAGTACTATAGTAGAATCGCTTTCCAGGGTTTTTCTTAGTCGTCGAGGTTCGTATCACAGTTAGATAACCACAATCACACCTTATCACCATTAGTGTTTTCTGAACTGAAGAAGTTGCAGAGAAGAATAATAGATGTCCAAGGTGTCGAGAAGAAGAATAGTTGACATGTATTTGAAAAACATTCTTTTAAGGCTTTTATTTTAAAAAGCACAATAATACCCCTGGCGTGCCAAACATGTGGTGCGTATTAAAAGAAAGGGCTAACGGCGTAGGGACCAAACGCGTATTAAAAGCAAATGTTATGGATGCCCAACCTGCAAAAAAATTTCAAACCATAGGGACCAAACGCAAAAAAATTTCAAACCATAGGGACCATATCAATAATTTGTTCTTAATTAAATCATCAAGAAATCGTAGATCTATAGTTTAAGGGGCCGTGAGTTAATCCGGAGAACGATCTAGTCGTTGAGGCTTGTGGGTTGGTTTTTCACTTACTGCCGATAATAAATATATATAATTAAAATAATTTTTTTTGTTACATTGTAATTTCTACGTAATAATAAACTAAATATTAATAGTTACCATGATAATCATTAACTCATAAACCAAACATTGACCATAAGTTATCACACCATCCATAGTTTACTTTTTTATGGAACTACAAAATATTTTCTCAAATCATTATACTCATAGACAAAGCTGGTTTTAGACATGTGTTGGATGTGTAACCGTATAAGTCCTGTGTTATTTAAGGCCTAATTTTTCTATGTACATAAATATTACCGATAGATTACTGACAAATTAATAAAAAATGAGCGATAATTTTTGAAATGATTAATTTTATAACATCAGACTTATAAATGATTTTACTTTCATAAATAAAGTACTATCTAAGAGTCTATTTTTAACTTTTCAGTTTTCACACAGCTTTAAAAATCAATCGGACCGATCTATTGATATTTTTATTTTTATATTATACTAAGTTCTATATTAAAATGAAAATCAAATATAACTCAGCATATGGAACCCGCATGTGAGGCGTGACATATTAAAAACGAACAAATTCGACCTCTCCATTCTCCAAGTCATACAATAATAAAGGGACTGTTGTGGACCAAAACCATCCTTAAAGGTTTATTTTATTTTATATATATATATATATATATATATATATATATATATATATATATATATATATATATATATATATATATATATATATATATATCTTGTTGACGTCAATATGTCACGTGTTTTTAATGACAAAAATAGCCTCGCCTTCCATAAGGTATATCACGTGTGTATACAGAGACGCCTTTTCTTGTTCAATTTTCGGGAGCACCCACGTCTGTATTACTTTCCATAACAAAACATACTATAAATTCAGAACAAATTCTCCCATCTGTCTTCCAGTTAACTGCCAAATGGAAATGGTCGAAGACGACGCTTCTTTTTCCTCATCTTCATCTCAATCTGAGATTGGCGAAACAATCTCACCTCCATCGATCAAGAAACGGAAAGCCGGGAGAAAGAAATTCAAAGAGACAAGACACCCGATCTATAGAGGTGTCCGGGTAAGAAACGGGTCCAAATGGGTGTGCGAAGTTCGTGAGCCCAACAAAAAATCAAGAATATGGTTGGGTACATTCCCAACCCCTGAAATGGCAGCTAGAGCTTACGATTCTGCAACCCTAGCATTACGTGGTGATACCTCACCACTCAACTTTCCTGACTCCGTCCATTTGATTAAACGAGCCAAATCATCTTCTGCCCATGATATTCGAGAGGCTGCTCTTGAAGCAGCTCTTGCCTTTAGGCCGGAAGGTTATGAACATAGGTCATCTAGGTCGCCTGTGTCTTTTCAGATTGAAAAGGTGGCGGTGGAGGTGCCAGATATGGCTTTCGTCGATGAAGAAGTTTTGTTTAATATGCCAAGTTATTACAATAACCTTGCCGAGGGATTGGTAATTACACCACCAGCAATGAAACACGGGTTTAATTGGGGTGGTGACTTTGATTCTCCTTGTGATTTTGATTCGGATATGGACTTGACTCTCTGGAGGTATTAAGTCAAACTGATACAGACTTAAACGAAGAGACACGGTTAGATATAGTCGGTTCTTGTTTTCAGTTATTGAAGTTTGTTTATATTCATATACAGATCTTTGAATTTTTTTGATAAAATTAAATTCCGTCAAAGATTAAGATTTGTGTAAAAGCAAAAAATCTTGATTTAAGATTTCGTATAAATTTTTTGATGGTATACATATATGTGCGCGTATACATGTAGTTGGTTTTATTCTCAATGTTACCATGCAAGTTAAAACAATCATTAATCGATACACGTATGATCCGATGATTGAAATAATATTTGAGTATATGTGTTTAACTCACATACGTAAATAACATTTGAGTATCTGTGTTTAACTCACATATGTTGTTTTGACATCACTACTTTGAAGATATGATACACATATTTAGTATCTCACGGAGAATTTTCATCCGATGCCTGTAATTTCTTGAAAGATGAAACTCTTGCACATGAGAACGGTTTCAAGTAAAACCAACACTTATTCTTTTGTGAAATTAATGATGAATCATATCGAATGAAAATAGTGGTTTCTGAAAATTTTACTCACATAAACTTACATCCTTGACTTGAGACCATGTCTTTTTTAATGTTTTTCACTTGTCCTACATAAGAATACGAACATATTGTCATGCCTACTAATTGAAGGTAAAAGAAATTGAATTTACTATTTTTTATAAATACCTTCTAGAGTATGTTGTTGACATCGCCATTGCTACATTGTTGCTAGAAAAAGTCAATCAACATTGATATTGTTAGTTTCCGTCCATCCCTTGATAATGCATTCACGGACTCAATGTTGTTTGATGTCATTATATTATAACGAACAACAAGAAAACACTCCCTTGCCTATTTATGGTTACCGATTTTGTGTATCCATGTGTTGGATAATCTTGATGGATATGGGTTGATATTTAGTATTTGTTTTATTCAGTTTTGAATAAAGGGTGACCAAGTCATTGTATATGCACGTGGGTGAACTTTGACCTATTCTCTAGGAATAGTTAGCTTAGTTTTAGGTGGTTTTTGCTTATTTCCGTTGGATTTGTGTTGGCTATATATAGCCTTTTGTTTTTCTGAATATGTAGATAGAGTGCAGTGAATAAGAAACAGGAAGATTATTCCTCTATCTCAAAACTCTCTTCACTTTTTGTATCTGTATTACTTCGTGTATCAAGGGACCTGCTCCAACATTTGGTATCAGAGCAGGTTGAAGAGGGTTGGTTTGAGAGTCGACTTTCGGAGGGAGGAGCCTTTGGCTGCAGGGCAACGAGAGCAGTAGAAGCAGCAGGCCGACAACAGAAAGAAGGTTTGATTGGCAGCAATCAAAAGAAAGAAGAAAGAAAGAAAGAAAGAAAGAAAGAAAGACAAGAAGAAAGAAGAATGAAGAAAGTGGAAAGAAGAAAGCAGAAAGAAGAAAGAAAGTAAGATAGAAAGAAGAGGTCGATCATTGTTGGAGCCGATCACCTCCATTGCCGAGAGATAGACTCATTATAGAGAGAAGCAGGAAAAGGGACTCGGTGGTGCTGGGTCTTTGTAATCAGAGGAAAGAAGAAGAAAAAAAACAGCACAAGTGTGTCACATATTAGCAGGCAAGAAAGAAGAAACAAGCAGCAAGCGATCACTTTTGATCGAGAAAGAAAGAAAATTGAAGCAAGAGACAGCAAGAAGTCTAAGCAAGATAGAGCAAGATTAAAGCAAGATAGCAAGATCAAACCTAACTGGTTTGAATAGCAAGTTAACAAGCAAGCAATAAGATTCGAAGTGAGCAAGAGTGTTCGAATCAAGCAAGAGAGTTCAAATTAAGAAAGAAAATAGAATGTTTAGCAAGAGCAAGAGATAAGAACTTTGTGTTCTTAAAGCAAGGAGCAAGATTGAATCACAAGGATTCAGCTAGCAAGAAAAATAGGACAAGATCATCAAGATTATGGGGGTGAATGTTGGATAATCTTGATGGGTATGGGTTGATATTTAATATTTGTTTTATTCAGTTTTTTGAATAAAGGGTGACCAAGTCATTGTATGTGCACGTGGGTGAACTTTGACCTATTCTCTAGGAATAGTTAGCTTAGTTTTAGGTTGTTTTTTCTTATTTCCGTTGGATTTGTGTTGGCTATATATAGCCTTTTGGTTTTCTGAATATGTAGATAGAGTGCAGTGAATAAGAAACAGGAAGATTATTCCTCTATCTCAAAACTCTCTTCACTTTTTGTATCTGTATTACTTCGTGTATCAAGGGACCTGCTCCAACACCGTGTACGACAATCATTCCGTAAAACATGTTGTAGCCTACCCAAACTTTCCTTAAAATCAAATTATTGGTAAGCTTTGCATGTCTCCCACAAAAAGGTTTTGATTATGCATTGTTTGCTGATTTTTGCTCAATTATTCAAACAAAATTTCAACAACAAAGTATGTGATATGCATTTAGGAATACGGCTTAAATAACCATTATTGACCCTATATGATATGATGGCAAAAAGTACATATCCCCAATACATTTTTTTCAACCTCAATAAGAATCATATCCATAAATTCCCATTTTTTGTATTTCCAGTGCCACATGCCAGTGGGGGGATTTGGTTATTAGCGTCCATTCCTACTACCAGGAACATAGTTCCAAAGTATTTTCCTTTTACGTGGCTTCGTTAATGATATCAAGAAGACCCAAACAAGTTTGAAACGCTCGAATCTAAAGAGTAAAATATAAGTAATCAAATCCAGTACATGTATAACAGGTACAAAACAATTGTGCATAAGAAATATTACCTTGCGACTGATAGCAATGAAAAAGTACTCAAAATTGTTCTTGTCATTTATACGAGGGTTTTTAGCCAACACGTTGTAGAGGTTTAAAACAATACATTTTGTGGAAACTGCATACTGATAAATGGAAAAAAAAATTATTAATGCATTTTAATGAATTTTTGCAAAACTATTTAGAACACGAATCTCAGTAAAAAATTTAGCTTCCCTTTTATAAGGATCGGGGACAACTTCATTGTAGGTTGATGATGCTTTAACTATTTGTGTTGATGTTAAAGGGCCACAAATCTAATTACTTGCATCGCCATTTAGTTGCTTAGAGGGTATTTCAGTTGTTATTCTTCCCTATTTCAGTTGTTATTCTTCCCTCTGATGGTGCGTGATCAACAATCAAACAACTTCAATTAAAGGAAAGTAAAAAAGAATATGAACATACTTTACTTTCGAGCTTTGATTACCGATATAGTTTTATCCACAATAACATTGTACTTTCTAAGAATAATGGTTTAATAAAAAATGATTTAACAAAGAATAATAAATGAAAATAAGATGCAATATTAGACAACAAAATCAAGATATATTGATATTTCTTTCATTTGGCATCTGATTGGGTTAAATGCAAGAAAAAACAAGCTACTCTCATTTTGTTCTCTGACATAACATCTTACTTTCATTTAAACTTCTTTTTGCAATAGTTGTCTTACATGGCTTGCTTTTAATGAACAAACTCCATAAGACACTTAATTTTAATTACTTATAATCACAGAGTTAATGTAAATAAAGGATTGATTCTTGAAAAAACTTCAAAGTTGGAATCTACAATAAGGTTGAAGGGATCACACATACAATCAAACCACCACCCAGCTGAACTGCATAAGACACCCATTATATATATACATATATATATATATATATATATATATATATATATATATATATATATATATATATATATATATATATATATCAACACATTATCATATAAAAAGTTATATGACCCTATAAAAAGTGAAAATAAAATGAGTAATCACTTATAACCCTACTCCTTGTCATACCACAAACCCAACTTCACAACTGTTATTATAAGCAATTCCAACCTTTGTATCAAATACGCTCAACCCATAAAACATCACATAAAGGATAAACTTATTCAATATATGTAATAATGGTCCATTAATTAAAGCAATCTTGAAATAAGATGGAGAAAACAAAGGTTTATCTATTATTACCCACAAAGTCATTGGACACTACATCATATTTAGTGTAACAAACCCAAGATCCCCTTCAGCCTCCCTAATAACAAACCCAAAAAACAATATTACAAATGTACTACCATCATCTATCAAGATTTCAAGATAAATCATAAGATCAAATAAAGTTTCTTACTTGATAACAACTTTGATCTCTATGATGGGAGTTGACCATTACGACCTCAAAGAGAACTAAATTACACATTTGTCTCTGGTGATGGAAGTTAACTATTAACCTGAAAAACCATTACAACCTAAAAGAGAATATCTAGATCGATGGTGTTTCTTGCATAGGAGTTGGTAACAACTAAGAGAATGAAAATTTGCATTTTTTATTTTTTTACCAAGCCAAAGTAAATACTCACAACTTTTGAAACTACATATCAATAGAACTTGATTGTTGATAGCTTCATTTTATTTACTTTTTTTATAGTTTATTTTAGAATATTTCATCTCATTTTAGTTAGTCTCCATACATATTTTTTATTTTTTTTTTATTTTTCACCTTTATCAGATACTTTCCAGTCTTTTGAGCGTAGTTGTAGGATTTCTCGAAGACTATTCAAGAAGGAAGATTGCTGGAAGGCGAGACTTTGAAGTTGGAATCTTACAGTATATTTGTGGACTCGAGCACGGAATACTTGCGCTTGGATTGCAAAAAGAAGACAAATTAATTTGGGCTTAATATTAGATGAAGAATTGATCATGATGTGATAAGAATTGGAGCTTTTGATGATCAAAATGAATTTGGCTAATTGGGAGATGATTAGAAGACAAGATGGAGCTAACTAGAAGTCTTGCAGGTGGGCTGGACCAAGACAAGAAGAAGTGGGAGGAGAAGGCCAAATAAATGGGCTTAATTACCCATTCAGCAACACTGACGTGGTCCGCGTGAGGAGGCCAAATGGTCTGCATGGACCGTTCAATGAAGAAACCAATTTTTTTCCTTTTTCCTTCATTTTAGGATGGTTGGTGGGATGCTTTTTGAGAACTTTTGCTTCCGAATTTTTCATACTTTGACTGGACTTTTGAAGCTAGGAGGAAAATAACTCTTGGATAACTTCAACCTTTTCTCTCAAAATCATTGGAACATTTGGATTTTTATCTTATCATCTTGTGAATGTTTGGTTATTCTAGATACTTTTCCTTTTGTTTAAACTTAGCCATGTTAGGCTAAGCTAATCTTAGTTGATATTAAATCTTTGAATGTTCAGTTTATTTTGAAGAAATTCAAGAACTTATGATGAATTTCTATGGATGTATTTTCTACTAAAACATATGATATGTTCATATATCTTTAATCACTAGTTTAGATGTGTGAATGTTTTGTGAGTTGGTTACTTTATTGGTTAAGTAATGGATCTTCAAATTAACATGAAATAATTGATTTAAGTGTTTTTGTTGATTTCACTTGAGTCAAGAGAGTATTTCCTCCATAATGATAATGGAAACATGTTGATCTTTTGGATTTGGTTATTCTCAAACCTTAATGCTAGTTAATTTTCTCAAATTATATGTTTCATTGATTTGTGGCTTTAACTTAGAAATTGTGTTATGAGCTTTTCTATCCATTAAATTATCAAAGGAGAGTCTAGGTAATTACAAGCTTTTGGGTTACCATATCTAAATTAGATGTTCATTGCTAGCATTACACCTTGATTTCTAGTGATTTATTTATCAAATGTTCAAATGATGGAATCCCAATGTTAACCATTTCCCTCATATTGATTTACATGCTAGTTTAATTTGTGTTAGTTAAAATTAGATTTATAACCTAAACTAAAATCCCCATTTTTATTTTTATTGTCAATTTACAAGTGCTTAAACAAAGAGGTTTTCATAAAAGTAACAAATCGAACCAATCTTCGTGGTTACGATCCATTTACCATTATAGGCCACTTTATGGCCAATCCTAAGGATATTTATTTATGTTGGCCTCGACAACCACCAATTCTAAATGTAAATTTTCATGACCAAAGGGCATAATGGATCTTTTTTAGTTTCTTTAAGAAAATAGAAGCAAAATAGATAAATTGAACAAACACCCAATTAGATCTATTTTGCTAAACAAGAGAGTAGAAGATATTACCTGATTATTAGAAACATTGTTATTCACAACCTAAAATTGTAAGAAAGAACCCCTTATCCATTTTGGTTTTTTCTAGTGTTGTACCATATAAACGTAGAATTGTATTGGTCTTGATCCAAAGTATTCGCATACTAATAAGAAATTATAGTACTATTCCAGAAATGAGACAAACCTTGGTAGGTTTGAGTACATCAAGAAGCTGATTCGGACAGTCAAACAGAGTCGAAAGAGTCAACTTGATCTACGACATGAAGCATTATAGCTATAGATAACACGGATGATTGATAACCCACAAATGTTGAATCATGACTTTAAATAAAATAAACAAAAATATGTAAGTGGCATAAATGAGTTTCTGATCTAATTTGGATTTTGACTTTTTTGTCAAAGTAAAAGAAAGATTTTACTTACACTAATGGATTACCATAGACTAGGGAGAGAATGAGATCTTCATGTTTCTTGAAGAAATCACATGTAAACTATAAACCTACAACCCATAAATAAAAATATGTAAACGAAAAACAAAATCAAAGAAATACGAAAAATACCAACGTCTCAGGACAAAAATTAAGAAACCCACAACTGATGAACATTAGCCAAAAACTCAAACCCGTGAAATATAAATCAAT